TTGCAGATTCTCAAAAAAGCATCTAAAGGAATTTTTTATTCCAGTAAGAATGTTGTTGTCTTACCCTTCAGATAGAACAGGAAACAGATCAGAAACATGATCTTGATTCACAAAAGAGCAGACAATACTCCTACACTTTAGAAACTAGCAAATTTACTCAGTTCACTGCAGCTCATGTAACATTAGAGGTCAGAGAGAATTTCCACAGCTCTTAATGGCATGTTTTTCACTCTTTATAATATCAAACTGACTTCCTAGATGTAAACATCGACTTTATATCTGACTACTTTGTGGACAACTAATGTAAAGAAGCAATATAGACTCAATTACTACCTCTTCTGAACATAACTTCAACAATAAGCTTTCAGATTACTTATTACCATGACTTGGGTCAGCATTTATCAGATATCAAAATATGTATGTGTTTTTAACTCTCAGCACCCACATAAGGTGGACTTTCTCTTCCAGTGTACCATTTAGTTTAGACATGTATAGTTTGAGAAAATGATTAGACCTACCTGCATTTTAATTTGTTCCATACATTTGCATATAACCGAAGGGAAGCATAACCCCTGCCTGCTCACAAAAATATCTCCTGCTTTTATACCCCATCTTTCCCTCCTGCCCTGTCCCTCTGCTAATACCACTTTTGCACTGAACCTCATATACATACACTCACATTCAAACATCCCACCCTCACCTGTAGCTCCCAAGATGGCCAGCGTCAGGAAGACAGGTAAGATGATTTTGAATGTTATTTGGAATCTTGGCTCACCTGCAGTCCTATTTCTCTTTTCTCTTTTCCTCAGGCTTGTGGGCAGATTATAATTTGTATTAGCCGTGGAACCAAAACACAATGACTTTGGTCCCTTATGGGGTAGGGCTTATAAACCTAAATGGACTTAGCATTTTGCAGCAGTAATTTGTGAAATGGTACTCCGGAAGAGTTGATTCACCTCCCTGGGTAAGCTGAGTAGTTTATGTGGCTCCCAGAGAAGAGTTCACATTTCTTAAAACCAGCCCCCAGGTCTGCCCAGAAGCTGCATGACTAAATGTAATTTGGATGGGGAAATGCTTCAGCTCCCCCAGGTGCACGTGCAAAGCTGCAAGGGCAATTGTAGAGGGTTCCTTTATCTCCTCTTGTAATATGAGATGTTGGTCCTACAGTGGATAGTCATAGGAAGAATTCCTTATTAAAAATCCATATTTATGTTTAAAGGCTAGATATAATTCAGAGGAGGGTTACAAGTTAACTGTCATTTTGGGGTTAATAAGGGTTATGCCTGTAAGACTTGGAAATCAACATAGAATTTTTGTGGAAGTGGTGAATAATTGAGGTATCCCAGGGCTTGCAACGCGATGAATCTAACGCAACAGAGTGAATTTCATCCACTGTCTGTCCACACCAAGCCTCATGTAGGAAGCACAGAGCGTCCACACCTTGGCTTATGCTCTGCCAACCCTATGGTTAAGCTCAGGTCTGCTTCATCTGCCGCCAGGTCATTCACGGCTACCTCTCCTGCCAGAACCACCAATGAGGGCAAAGGTCACTTTATTAATCACCCACGGGGTGTGGGGTTTGTGGCATCCTTATCAAAATGCAATGTGGGGACTTTGCAGAAAACTGGTCCGAAATACTGCCCAGCATTAAAAAAAAAAAAATTGTATCCATATCGCTATGAAGAGCAAAGCAAATGCCAAAAGATTTTGAGCGATCAGAGTGCCTCACTTGGGCTCCCTTACCCAGTTCTCATATGACAGCATTTGCTCAAATTGTTGTCAGTATATATTCAGATCATCACAAAGGAGCAGGTGAGGTCAGAGTGAGAGCATTATCTTCTCACACCTAGATCCTGGGGGCAGTTCTGTTGGTGACAGTGCTTTACAAGCTCTTAGAAGGTTTCTTTACTATTGGGTATTATCCACTGGATTACTCACTTCATCAGCGGTTTGTGAGTTCTCTTCAATGATCTTGTGGAAATGCAGTAACTCTGGAAAGAAACTAATGATAATAACTGTCTGAGTGCCTGCATTGTTCCTTTATTTCTCACAACATCATGAGATGTAGGCATTCTTATTCCCTTTCTATGAAGCAAAAGAGTAACTCGAGATAGCACAGCCAGTAAGTGTCAGAACCCGAATTACAAGCCTGGCTCTGACTCCAAAATCTCTTCTTTTTCCATCAGACTACTATAAAATTTGCACATGAGCACAGCCAAGTGAATAAGTGGTAGGCGTGTGTCCCACGTGTGTGACTGGCCTGGTTTTTGCCTGTCCTGGGGGACAGAAGTGAGATTGGCCTTGCCTATCTACAGAAGGCAAACCCAGGAGGTCTGACACACCACAATCCATTGGCACAGGGACGTACCTTCACTGTGTAATTCTAAATGGTACCCGCTATGGTTATTATGGTTTTTAAAAACGCAGTAATTATAACGGTTAGCATTTGTCCAAAATTTACTTTGTAAGTGAATGAGCTGGGCTGGTGCCTGGTTTTCAGTGGAAGCCAGATTGGAACCACCAATCAAGTAGCCAAGGTCAGAAAAGAGCCTGGAGGTGGTTTTGAAGAAATGTCTTTCGTAGACATTTGTGAAATATGAACTTGGTTTTTGTTTTCCCTAAACTGATTTACCCTGCCTTGTTCTCTACTCTTATTTTGATGCCTGCTCTGGTGCTGCCCATCCCCCCAAGATAATTCCCTTGATGCTGTCACACACTAGCCAACCTCACACCTGATGCCCCTTGCTCCTACTAAACTGTGCTGCTTGGTTTCTCTTCCCATTAGGGTCCAAAGTGTCAGTTAAACTAGTGTGTTAGTGTGAAAAGTAGTAAATGTGCACTATGTTTTTCTTTTAAAACTCATTGGCTTTGGCCAGGGAAAGCTATTTGAGGGGAAGACTGGACTTCCAGCACCCTCACTGGAATGGCCCTGTATGTATACAAAGCTGGTCACTTGGACCCATGGCCGAATGAATGGCTGGCATGACTTTGAAGCTATAAGCCAATAATACCTCATCCTGTGGACACCCACACACACTGCAGAGAATGAAAAAGAGGACTCAGTTTGTATGATCTCCTAAAGTAAACAAGATTTAGCTGTTTGCGTACCTGACTCATTTTTTCTGAACATGGATATCTTATCAGTAGTGATTAGGCTAAAATCCAAACCCAGGTTAATATCCCTAGTTTTAGAAAGATATATTTAAATCTTTACATACAGAAGTATGTGCTCATTCTACACATACTGAATTTGTTTCCTAAAGATCATCGTCCTATTTGAAATGTCTTCCTAAAATTGAAAATAATCATGAATTTCTGAATTAGAAAAAGATGTGGTAGTACATTGCTTTAATAGTACTTTTTTTAAAAAAAAAGTACTTTAGAGGATTTGAAATACTTACATTCTAAGTTCCACCCATCTGCTCCGCGATGGATAGCATTAATACAGCAGAGGTCAAACAGCTGCAATATTGTGACAGTAAGGAGTGAACATTTCTGGACATTTTCCAGAAACAGAGGAAACATTAGGAATTACAGATTTAAAGTAAACTGAATCACTCTTGAGTCTTAAAATTGAGCCAAATCTCAGGGTTTGTAGGAAAAATTATTTTCAAATCTTAGCTTGAATTTAGTGTCCATAAAATAGAAACTGATTTGAAAACTACAGCAGAACCAGAGCAAAGAATAATATATGGATAGGAACGGAAATTTAAAATCAGGGAGAAAAGGACATCTTCATTTGGTGCAGGCAGTACAGTAACTAGATCTCCCCCCTACAGAAGGCTACCACACCACAAGCACTCGCAGGCTGAGTCAGTCACTTACAGCAGATGCAGTGCACCCCACTGAAATAAGTACCTGTGCTTCAGCATGGCGGTGCCACCAGTTCAGTGATGTGGTCATTACCGCCTTGCACCAGGAATTGAGGAGTCATGGATGTGTAGTGGTGACATTTGTGAATGGGTAGCTACTGCCGAATTATCATGTTTATTTTTCATTGACACAGTGTAAATCGAGGCTTTTCACTCTCAGCTGTTTTTTTTTTTTCACTTTAAAGACAAAATAGCAGATATGGTCTCTTCCGGTGCGCTCTGCTTCGTCACAAATATTACCACTGTGCATGCAGAATCAAACAAGAACAGCATAATGCACCAAGGGCTTATGCAGATCTTTCATGATGAGAACACATTATCCAAATAGGAAGAGTTTTTGTTGTTGTGTTTGGTTTTAGTTTCAGTAAAATTCCAGTCATTAAAGTGTTGCCACCTTATTGACATGACAAGTATACCCTACATGAGTTACCAAGATCTATGTCTATGGCTTAGAATCCTCCCCTATACAGAAATGATGATTGTAGGGACTAATCAGACCATTTTTGTATGTTCTCATCAGACTCTTTGTTTGGCTGGAACTCTGCACTCCTTACTGCTTGCATGTTTACTAATGTGTTATTAAAACCCTCGTATTTGCCTTTGTTCTTTCACAACTAACACACTGGCCTCTGAATGCATGAGTTTTGTGTAAACTGGTGTGTGACTTAGTAACTAATAAATGTATCAGTTGTATTTTCAGATCTGAAAACTATAATTGGAATTACTGCACTAAAAACATTTTTTACATTAAGTGATAAAAATAAGGTAGACTATTAATATATCGTACACTTAATTTACCACTATGAGCTCTTAGAGTATTTTTTAATCCCTTCTTCATTTTAGCTTTTTAAAAATCTATTCTATAAAAAACCTCATTAGTGGCTTTCTAGCTGAAAAGCATTCTGTGTACTAATATTGAAACAATCCATTGCAGTTATGAAGTTAGGAAGATAAAATTCTAGCATTCTAGTGTTGTGAATGACAGAGTATGTCCCAGTAGTTAAACCTTTGCAGTAGTGGTCTATGAAAGTAGAAATCAGAGGGTTCTTTCTGAACCCATTTTTCAGATATTTGAAAAGGTATTAGGCAATCACATAATATGTATTTCATGTGTTCTCAACGTCTCAGGACTTTATCTCCTGCCAAGTCTCCTTCTTCGTCAACTGGGTCTATTGCTTCCAGCAGAAAATACCCTTATCCAATGCCTCCCCTTCCCGATGAGGAGAAGAAAGTGAACCGACAAAGTGCCAGGGTATGTGGGAACTTCTTTCATATGCTAACATCCTCAGTCATGATCGTTTATCTGTGAGTTGATGTTTTAAAAGGGAGAGCCATCCTTTTTTTGTTCATAAGAACATGAAAAAAATTGAGTTTGGAAAACAGTAGATTCTTGGGGCTTTTGGGCCCAGATTTGTATTGGCAAATTTGTTTAATTATTGATGAATTCTAGAAATATTTGGCTTATATTAATCATTCACTGCTACATATTTATATCTTTTATTTTTCATTGCAGCTAATATATTACAACCTGGAAGAGACAAAACAGAGTGTATTTTGCTTTATCAGTTTTTACATATACCTTGAAATGCCAGAGATTAAGTAAACCAGCCTCATTTCCATGCCCAGTTTGCTTACTCAGGCCTTTTGTTGGCTAATAACACCCAGTGGGAGTTAAAAAAATAGGAACCCATGACAGAAAGTCAGATCAGTGTCTTGGGGATGGGGGTGGAATTTGGATAACTGTACAAGGAAAGGAACCTTGAAAATCTGTAATATTAAGAGTATGGCAAAGGGTATGGTGAAATTTAGCAACCTTTTATTTTAAGAAAACGTTAAAAACATATTTGGAATTTACTATTTTTATAAAAATGATTCATCAGAAGTTTCATGTAAATACTAAGTCCTCCTTTACATTTAAATTATGATTTTATTTAGTCTCACAGCATTCCCAGAACACATCCATTATGTGAAATTTGAGATACAGTGGAGTTTAGAGAGGCAGACCAACCCTCAGAAACTTACGTGAAAGATATAACTAAAGAATAATTACCTTTACTGATGTCCAGGCTCTGTTGTGGTCAGTTACACTATAATTTTGATCTTTTCAGAAATAATGTTGCAAAAAAATAAAGCTCTAAAAGCCTGGACAGATTTATCTGGCTAGTGGGTCCTGAGTTCTTAGGCTTTTTGGTTTTGAAAGATATTTCAGAGCCTCTTGGACCCTGAACTTACATTATGGGGTCCAAGGTAAACATGGATCATTCAAATTTTAACTTGATCAATTCAGAGTCAGTAAGAAAACATGTGCTGGTTAGATCACTATAATCGAAAAGACTTTAAAAACAATTGGTGGTATTTTGTTAACCATACAAAAAATTACCTTCATATATTAATATGGGCAATGGTAAAAGATGGAAAGGAAGACGATAACTCAGATTCCCAGCACTCAGCTTTTGGCCTTAAAAAAAACAAAGACTTGTGAGTAGGCATCCACTTGTTTGTGATATAAGTATGTGGTAATGAAACCTTAGGCTGATGTCATTCCTTCCCTCCCCAGGGAATTGCTGAAGTAGAACACCTCACATTTTCTCCCTGATAAATTGTCTACATTGCTGTTTTGTTCTATCTAACTGGGGACATTCTTTTAACTGTTGTCATGCCAGGGTGCAGGTTTTTGGAGATGTTCCCACATGAGAGCCCATGAAAATGTCATCCTCCAGAAGAAATGGCTGGCCTTTGACCTTTTCTCTAGGCTGAGTGGGGCAGCTGTGAAGACTGTAGCCTTGGGGACAGTTGTGTGAAAGGTCTGCTTGGTTCTTGGTTCCCATGAGCAAGTAGCAGAATCCTACAGAATAGGCAGCCCCTGTCTCTGGGCTGTCTTTGTGGGCTGTGGACAATCTAACGAGCAGATCTTTCTATCAGCAAGCCTTCTGTTACAGCTATCCAGACATGGCCAAGGTCATGCCTATCCTTAAAAGCGATGGCTTGGCAATTCTTTGCTCCTTTCTCCTCACTGGGATAATCGTCACCTTCAGGTTTTCCCAGTGTCATTCCTTTGTTCCTCTCTTCTTTCTGCGAGCTGTCATTTATTATTTAATCTTCGTAACCATTTGTGAAGAAACTGGGCTCACTGAAGGTGAAGTCTGGACTCTTAACTACTCTGTATCATCATCTGAGTGTCAATCCAGATCTTCTTTCCCTCAGACGCCTTGCACACCTCCTGCTTAACCATTCATTTTCACTTGTCTCCACCAACAGGTGTCATCCACACACAAAGATCCTCACAGTTGAGAGATTTGGTGTCTTTTTTTAATGAAAAGGACATATAAAGTGGACCTAAAGTAGGTAACGGAATATTTCCATGAGGAGTCAAGAGAACATATTAAGAGAATCTGTAGAGAAACATCTACTTAGTCACTTAGCTATTTCTCCTTTTTTTTTTTTTTTCCTCAGAAACTCATTGGATATCATACTATGACTGGCCCCAGATTTCCAGTAAAAATGGGATTTGGTTGGAAATTGGCTGCAACCTATGTTACACTAATCTTAGTCTTTCTTTGTTCATGTTCATAATAATTATACCCACATCATATTGCCTGGAAACATATTTTATCAGCTTGATCTTTTTTCTTTTTTTTTAATTGGCCCTCCTTCTCTGGTGAACTGAATTGCACTTATATTTGATCATGCCAAACTTGTATTCAGTCCATTAAGGCAATTACTGAATATTTTAGAAATTAGATATCAGTGGGGCTGGTTTAAAGAAATGGTGGCAGAGGCCAGGAGAGGGAAGAGGTGAGGGAATTACGAAATTGACATCCTGCCCTGGATACATCATTCTACTCTGATATGTCCACTCCTGAGAGAGGCCAATTGTTTAGCAGATAGTGATGGATTTGGAGAGTGTATAGCCTGACCACAGGCCCAGAGCAATGATTTTTAATTGGGCGGTGGTGGTATTAATGGACTCACACTTTCCTAAGGTCAGTAGTTCTCATCATTGACTGTATAGAATTGTCTGAAGGACTTTTAAAATATACTGATGTCTGAGTCCCACCCAGAGAGATTTTGATTTAGTTGGTCTGGTGTGCTATTTAGGCAGTGGGATTTTTAAAACATCCCCAGATCATTGAAATGTACAGCTGGGTTGAGAACCACTGTTCTAGATGGCTGTATCAGAATCCTGGGGAAAATAAGGGTATGTGTAGTTTTAAAAAATAATATTTTAAATTACTTCATTTGAGACACAATATTTAATTTATTCAAAATTTCAAGTAATATTGGGTGGGCCAAAAAGTTCGTTTGGTTTTTTCCGTAAGATGGCTCTAGTAGCACTCAGTTGTCTTTAACTGTGTTCGAAACAATTTTGTTGGATTGCATTGTGACAGCTGTCATGTCAGCGTGCATTTTAAAAAAAAACTTACCAAAATTGGTGAATTTTTATGTAGCCATTTTAATTTTGAAGATGGAAGAAAAAAGCAACATTTCAGCATATTATGCTTTATTATTTCAAGAAAGGTAAAAATGCAACTGAAAAGCAAAAAAAGATTTGTGCAGTGTATGGAGAAGGTGCTGTGACTGATCGAACACGTCAAAAGTGGTTTGCGAAGTTTCGTGCTGGAGATTTCTCACTGGATGATGCTCCATAGTCGGGTAGACCAGTTGAAGTTGATAGCGATCAAATCGAGATATTGAGAACGATCAATGTTATACCACGTGGGAGATAGCCAGCATACTCAAAATATCCAAATCAAGCATTGAAAATCATTTGCACCAGCTTGGTTATTTGAATCGCTTTGACGTTTGGGTTTCCCATAAGCAAAAAAAAAACCTTCTTGACCATATTTCCGCATGCGATTCTCTACTGAAACGTAATGAAAATGTTCCCTTTTTAAAACAAATTGGGACAGGCGATGAAAAGTGTATACTGTACAATAACGTGGAATGGAAGAAAGTGTGGGGCAAGCGAAATGAACCACCACCAACCACACCGAAGGCGGGTCTTCATCCAAAGAAGGTGATGTTGTGTATACGGGGGGATTGGGAGTCCTCTATTATGAGCTCCTTCCAGAAAAACTAAATGATTAATTCCCACAAGTACTGCATACAGTTAAACCAACTGAAAGCAGCACTCAACAAAAAGCATCCGGAATTAGTCAACAGAAAACGCATAATCTTCCATCAGGACAATGCAAGACCGCCTGCTTCTTTGATGACCAGGCAAAAACTGTTACAGCTTGCCTGGGAAGTTCTGATTCATCTGCCATATTCACCAGACATTGCACCTTCGGATTTCCATTTATTTCGGTCTTGACAAAATTCTCTTAATGTAAAAAATTTCAGTTCCCTGGAATACTGTAAAAGGCACCTGGAACAGTTCTTTGCTCAAAAAGATAAAAAATTTTGGGAAGGTGGAATTATGAAGTTGCCTGAAAAATGGCAGAAGGTAGTGGAGCAAAAGGGTGAATATGTTGTTCAATAAAGTTTTTGGTGAAAATGAAAAACGTGTCTTTTACTTTTACTTTAAAACCGAAGGAACTTTTTGGCCAGCCCAATATTAAATGAGGATGTGAGGGGTTTTTGTATTGAAAGGTGGTCGTTGTTAAAACACGTTGAGACTCAGGTTTAGAGGAAAAAGAGAACTAAAAATTAAGAGTGTTTATTTTATCCATTATGAGGCTTCGCATCCACAATCACATAAGTATAGATAAAATTACCGAATCTTTTTCATCTTTGTAGCTCAGAATAAGTCTGTTTCCTGCTTTCACAGTGTGAAATTTTGCTTTTCTCTGTTGTGCAGCTATGGGAGACATCCATTTAAGATCAGCTGTTTACATGTGATACATCGAAACTGTTTACTTCAACTTTTATAGAAACTCAGCCTCACTGAATCACTGCAAATCTATCTGCTCTTCAGACAACTCGAAAACATCTCTGAATGCCACAGAGGAGAGGAAGCCGAGACTCACATCTGGATACCATTTTCTTTTTGTCATTGGCTTCAGATTTAATTGAACCATGAAAAGAACTACTGAAATGTTACACTATAACGTGGAACAACTAAGGTACTGGTATGTTAACGGATAATCCGCATGACAGATATATGTAGAAATATCACTGAAATTAACTCACATGACCCAAATGTAGCAAGTTTCCTAAGGGACAATAATGGATTCAGAACTTGACATTCTGAAGCACATCCTCATTGTAGACAGTAATGCTATGTGCATGAGGCTTCTGTTTATTGTTTTCCACATTTAAGGAAACAACATCCCATAATAGAAACTAGCATGCTGGGCTAAGGCATATAGGATTTCTTCTGCAGGACTTTAAAGCTTGAGAGGCCAATATCCCATATGCTAACTGTAAACATGTATTTTTCCTTTTTTTTCTTTTTTTTTACTTTTCATATTTATATCAGCATACAAGGACAATTGTACATATGTAAACATTTTTAAAATTAAAAAAAAAAGCAGCTGTTAACACACAAGTGTATTTTGCCAGATGCCTAAAAACAATCAGTCACAATCACGTCATCATCATCCATCAAATGGTCTTTAAAGATTATGACCGGATGATGTTGTAAATAATAGTGGTCAGGGCTGTATATGTGTCTCCCCATAATTGGTATTTGTCCAAACCATGTGCTATCCCTTTAAAGTGTGCACAGTCTAGAGGCAGTTTTATTGAGTAATTAATTGAACAAGAGAACAAAATGTCCGACAGAACTTCGGGCCTCCACAGCTTGCTTACTGCCTCAAGGCGCTCTGCTGCCAGCTGGCTGCTCCCTGGGAATCCTCCAGCCTGTCCATCTTCCTTCCAGGGGCTACAGCGCCTGCCTCAGTGGCTATTCTTTTTCGGTGCCAGAGCACATCTGCTAGTCTCACCTGGGGGGACCTGTGAGCCCCACAACAGTGTGTCCTGCTGAGTTAAACAAATGCACCAAAGACACAGGAGACCACAGCTGCTGATGCATTGGTAGCTTCCAACTTGCCAATACTCTAACCCTTTGTGGCCTAAACTTTTGTTCTTTAACAAAGCTTTTTAGCCACCCTTATCTGTGACATGAATGACGTGTTTTAATGAAAACAACTTTCACACTGTTTATTGAGGGTATTTATCATCGGTGGGACGTGAGTCCCAGCAGGTCATTCTGCACTGATTTGTAAGTAAGATATGGAAGGTTCTACCAGCTGGGCTGGGAAGCCTCAACAGGTCGCAGAGGGTTCAAAGAAACCTAAAACCCCAAGGGTGCAGCAACTGTGAAGTTATCCAAACAGCCGGCAAGGGGTAGAATCTGATGTTCTGAACTCTCTATGTTTTTAATCCATAGAAAAATAAGAAATCTATGTTAAATCCCCTTCTTTAAAACCAAAGTTCGATAGCTGTCATCATGCAGCTCTGCCATTCTTAAAGAAAACTTCTCTTGGGAGGCGACCCTAAAGTGAGCTCAGAAATTAATGGGATCAATCAGATGCTTTGATGTAAAGAGTACTTCTGAATTTTCTAATTTTCTCTCCTTTTTCTTGAGAGGAATGGAATCTGCAGACAAGATTTCAGAAATATCCTCTAAATTTGATCTCTGCCAGTAGTGTCCGAGGACAAAACCCATTTCATCTCCGTGTGTAACGATCTTGGAGGCCCAAACTGAAGGGCCCATTAGAAGGCAGTGTTTTCTCCTCTATGTGTCTGTCTTCCGTAACGGACCTCTCTTCTGAAAGTCTTTGAAAACATTTGAAAAGCAGTTTAATTATCCAAAATGATAAAGTATAAACAGCAGTTTTCATGACAGGAAGGGATGTGATTGTCGAGACTACGATAAAATGATCCATCAGTCTCAAGTTGGGTGATGTTGCCATATAGCCCAAGCCAAGGACAGGAGGGCAGACAGATTTAAAGATGTAGCAAATAAAGTGGCTTTTGACCAAGATCACTTAAATGTGCACTGAATGTTTTCTGATATTGAGTGTATAAAAGGCTAATGTTAGAAGGTTTATTTTGACTATAAAAGAGTTATAGATTTGAATGTAAGGTACCTTATGTAAATATGCTTTCTAGTTATGGTTACACATCCCTCGTTTGAAAGAATCCACAAATGATTAGCTATGTAGTCAATGGATCCCTTCACCCTTCTGTCTTTCCTCACCTTCTGAATTATTTTTACATGAAGATTATTATTTCAAGTGAAAAATCATTATTTGTGCCTTTTGGGAGACATGGTTGCTCTAGAGGTATACAGTTTATAGTCATCCTCCTCGATAATAAACTTCACATAGAACTGAATGAAAAGTGTTTTATTTGCAGAGAGACTATGATTTGTGGCCTCTCCTGTTGCGGAGCACAGGCTCCGGATGCGCAGGCTCAGCGGCCATGGCTCATGGGCCCAGCCGCTCCGCGGCATGTGGGATCTTCCCGGACCGGGGCACGAACCCGTGTCCTCTGCATCGGCAGGCAGACTCTCAACCACTGCGCCACCAGGGAAGCCCCGAGAGACTATGATTTTATAGTACCTTTGATGTTCTATTCTAGATGTCTACTCCATCTAAGAATGTGTAAACTTTCTTACAGCCATTTGCCGCATTCTTTGACAAGTTTATAATTTCAGTGGCTAGTTGTGAGAAGTACCTATATGTGAATTCATGGTTGGTGTTCTAGATGTATTAAATCTAAATATCTATGACTTTTCATCCACTGAGGCAGGGAGAATGGACCCATGGCACTAAACGCAAGCACAGCATTATTATTATTATTAATTTTTTTGAGTATCTATTTTGGAGAGCAACTTTGAGGCCACATAGCAGTTTGTATCATGAAACTAATATTTATAGCCCCCAGTCAACTATAGGACTGTTATACTAAGCAGAGAAGAGCAGCTTTTTGGGCTTTGTGTTCCATTGTATGCCTTTTTCCTCTCTTTCTGAAGTTTTGTGTGTAGATTAGACTTCAGATTGACAACTCTGCAGCCTGAGATGTTCCATTTATCCATAGTTGTTACAGTATAGTAAACCCTGATTTAAAGCAACACATATCTCTCCCCTAAGAGTGTCAACAAAGGAGGTGTGGGAAACATGGAGCTATAAAGGAGCTGACTGGTCAGATTAACTGGTCTCTGTGTCCAGCCCCTCATTCTTTGGACAGGAAGTGGCACCCTCCTCTGGGGTCTCCCAGCTAGAAAGTGGCCCCCAGGCCACATGCAATCGGTGGAAAGGAATAAACTCCTCAAACAGTGCAGCATCAGGAGGCCTTTCAATTTGTGGTTGCTGTATTTTTTTAAAGATACCCAATGCTTTTCCTTAAAATAAAACGTTGACTAATAAAGTAAATGCCAAAGCTATTTTCCAGGTTGATATATAGGTGCTTTATTAAATGATACTACAGTTTCACTCCCCTGCCCACCTCCACCCTGCTTGCTTTAAAAAGGCTTTTAAAATTGTGTCACTGCGTAAAGTCAATCCAGCATAGATTTCTGAACATAAGATTGATAGGGTTTCTAAAAGAAGTTGCTGAAAAGATAAAATCAGGTATTCTGTGCACTTCCACAGAAGGACTATTTATGTTTGAATTCCCAAACAGTCTTAACATTTCTCTATTTTTTCTGTTGATCCCCTTGCAGATTTGCATAATTTAATCCCCTCTATTGTCTCAGATCTTTTTGTGTCTGCTTTACCTTTTACCTTCTTAGGTTTTCTTTAATTTTTATAGTTGCCTATGGGCTAGAGGAAATACGGTATTTCTGTTCACTTTCAGTGTTTCAAAATTGTTCATTTATTAATCTCATCCATTCTTCATTTCCTGCTGTTATGTAGTTCTATTTTAACATATATATTTAGTGCTTTAAATATTTCCTTGTGTTATTCGACATGATAATAAATCCTTACGTAAAGAGAAGACTATTTTATTTTACTTTATTTTACTTAAAAAGGGAATATACTGGAACTTACCGAGTAGCTTGCCAAGTGTATGGGAAGGGGAGCTGAATAAAGGCAGTGAGGGAAGGAAGGGAAGCAGGCCTGCTGCCCCCGCAGCTTGATAGGACACCGCCCCCTGCTACCAGGACGCCCCCTATGGGCAGCATTTTTTTTTTTTTTTTGGCCAAGCCGCATGTGGGATCTTAAATTCCCCCATGAGAAATCAAACCTGTTCCCCCTGCAGTGGAAGCGCAGCGTCTTAATCACTGGACCGCCAGGGAAATCCCTGGGCAGCATATTTTAAGTACAATCGTACCAGTTGGTAAGTTGACATGAATTTTACATGAAACGTTCTGACTCCCATTTGTAGCATAATGTCTACTTTTTTATGCTCCTAATTATTTTTTTTTCTATCCCGTCTATGTTTCCTCTAAAACTGACACTCAAATACTTCTTTTCTTAAATTAAGTCAAGATGAATTTCTCATTCTATTAGCTTAAAATATATACGAAGCAAACATAGGGCTTAATTGGAGGCTCAAACTTTGAATTTTTCTCCTCTGAGATATTTTCTGAAGGGCTAAGACTTCTGATTTCGGAGGCAGCAACTTTCCTCCAGCCTGGGAGAGCTAAGAACTTTCCTAAACAGCTTTCCCTGTTTATTGGACCCTGAGGAGCCCAGCCTGCTCTTGTGAAAATCAGCTGAGAGGGAGCAGCCTATCTGGCTCTGGGTGTGTGCTGTGGTCTGGGCGGGGGATCGGAGCAGCCACACCTGCTGGGAACCTTCGGGCGCATGCTCCTTAGCATCTGCTCTGTGGGCAGGTGCTTTTAATTCCAAGAGGAATTTTCCACCCCACCTGCAGATGCAGAGCAAACAAAGATGGAGCGGGATTTTAGATATCAGGAGTATTTCTTCTTTGTCAGAGTCCCCCAAATGGAGCATCTTATGGTTCAGTTTGTAGGTAGAAAAGCAAAACATTCGGAAACAACAAAAACCTGCCTAGTGTTTTTGTCCTTTATATCCATAGCCTGACAAACAGTAAGCATTCTCACTGTGGGTTTGAGAGATGCTTCCAGACCCTTCCTACTTCCAAAGTCGCTCTCTCTTCAGTAGCTGTCAGATCTTTTCTCCTGACTAGGAACTTTCACTGTCATGGAGGTAAGTCACTTATTCGCCTGAATTGGCACGCGGGGAACCATTGGGGCGTGGAATTAGGGGAGAGAGGCACTTTTAGCCTTCCATCGGCATCGGCATGGATTATGCAACTTGGGAAGTCACTGAGAGGTTGGTTGTCAGGGTGTTTCAGGCTGGAGGGGAGATAAACAGCAAGGCTTGGGAGGTCATGGGGCATTTAGCCCTGGATAGGAGCAGAATGGAGAGGCGCAGGGAGAGCTCAGAAGCCAAGCCAGCGGAAGAGCACAGGTCGGGCACTGGTATGATAGGGAGAGGTGCTGCGTGCCTAGGGCAGACCTGTGTATTTTCCGGTTTTACTGAGTGTTGGCTGTGTAAAGCCTCATTGTCTAGTCATAATGGGCCAACGCCTGGTGTGGCTGTCCCTGTTGCATCGTTCATAGAACCTGTATCGTACCTGGAGGTGCTTCAAGACTGACAGGGGTTTGGCTTAAGGACATCACCATTCATGCTTTTAGGTGTCCTTGGAATCAAAACCAGGGAAAAAGTGTTTTTTTTTTCTTTTCTGTTTTTCGTTTTTTACAAAAAGGCATACAATGAGTCTAGCAATGTTGAGATAATATGCTTAACAAATTCATCAGTACTGTTTTTGAAGAGTTTATGAGTTTTTGAAGAAACGCGCATTTTCCTCTCGTTAAAAAATACATACGCATACAATACTGTACTATACTATGATACGTTTACTCTACGGCTTAGTCTCTCGTTTTATGAAGTTTCAGATGTGGATTTGTGTTTTGATGGTCAAGCTCTTAAAAAATGCAAAGAGCCCCCAAATCCTTAAACACGGTGGTGCTAAGTTACACTAGATAACACAATACAGAAAGTGCTGATAGGAATTAATACATTTATTCAGTAATAATACAAGAGTTCTTGCTAAATTATACATGTGTATCACTGCCTGATGAGAAACCTCACTTTTCTAATCCAGTACAAAATCAAACTGTGATTCTACAGCCAGTCTTTTTAATGGGTAAAAATGACCCAAATCTTTGTTCTGTATGGAAAACTTTTTTTTTTACACTAACTTCAAAGATGCTTAGCAAAGGTTTATTCAGAATAATAAGCACGTGCTCCTTTTTTAACTTGCTGGAAGAGGCTTGCCTCTCCAATTTAGCATCACAAAAAGACAACTTCTTTTAAAAACAGCGTTTTTACCTAAACATAGCAGTTCATATGTTAGCCAGTGTAGGTCTGCACTGGTGTTTTCCACATCTATCATCTTCAAGGGGTGATGTCCCATCTACAGCTAGTGGAAGACACTGCGTGGGGAAGTGTTAATGGCGGCACCGTTTCACTTTTGGTAACCAGGTAATCAGGTGTATATAGTTTGGCTTCATTTTAACATTCTCTTGGCTACTCTGCACTTTGGGTTCTTAAGCTACTTTAAACATTATTACTGGGTTTTGGCGAACAGCAACTGAAATATATGGCCACTGCTTTCCAGATCAAGTGCGATTTGTTTCATGGCTGTTCAGGTTATAAAGTTGTTATATGTAGGTAAACAAAATCTTGCTGTTTTTCAAGGTCACTGTAACTTAAGGTTCAAATTTCTGGCACAATTTTATTCACTTCTGAAGCTAATAAGGTACCACGCTTTTCTACGTTACTCTCATTGTAACATCAATAAAGTGACTTTCAATAAAAGATTTATGTTATTTTGATGCATGACTCCCTTTAATCCTGCTTTTCTCCCAGTTACTCTTTCTCTTTCAGAAGCTCTGTGGGCATGCTCCTGGGGGTTCTTTCTTTTCTGTTCCACGAGGTTCTAGAATGGACCATCGGCATGGGGAGAAATACCATGATCCTTTAGTGAAGCCTGAATGCTTACTTTGTTGGACAATTGCCCCAGCTGGGTGACATATGGAGTCTTCTCTATCCACCTGCCTTATTTCATGAACACTTTCTCCCTCACCCTAATAAGGATCAATTTACTATATTCTGTCCTAGAGCCCAGGCAGTGGTGCTTATTTAATGAGTTCACTTGTGTCAGACTGTAAAGCATTGCGCCTTGGATGGGTTCAGTTTAGGCCCATGAATTCACTGCCTGAAGAATTTTTCCACCCGGCCTTTTCATCATCTCCCCAGCAGCCCTTTCATCTACCAGTCTTTACCCTGGCACTTGGAATTTCCTTGCCTTCAGCTCCTAGTCTGCTGAGGAAAAAAGCAGTTGTAAGTAAAGTACTGTTTTAATGTGAGAAAAACAGAAGTAATTGACTAAGGGTTTGTACATTTATTATGAGATTTTAAAAAATGGTGATTACATATAGCTCCGTTCCTTCAATTTATAGTATTTTAGGCATACAATAATCCACTAAGATAAACACTGAAACAGTAACACACTCAGCAAAGCAAAAGCAAAGTCTAGATCAGAGATAGCAGAAGTTCTCGCTCACATGCCGTTTCGTGGACTGACGGTACTGCCTGGAACATCACGCTGAAGTGGAGTCTAGACTTTTTGGCTCAATAAGAGTGAGAGCTCTGATGAATGAAATATGACTGCTGTGGGGGCAAATCTATGCCAACTGTCCCCGGGGAAGCACAGGCCTCTTGCGGCCACATTCCTATGGAACTGCTCAGAAAGGGCTGTAAGTACTTTATCATCACAAATCTCTTGACACACCATGATAAAGCACTCATCCCCCAAATTAAATTCAATCTTGAGTTGGGGTGATTTGAGGAACTTAATTCTCCAAATGACTGAAGTATGCAAGTTTGAGCTCACAGCTTTATTATGCTCCAACTACATGCTCTAAGAAAAGTAGACCAAAAAACAGTTTTGAAGAAGGCAGTGAGGCTGCACTGGATGTATATAATGAGTAAAACAGAACCCACCATCAAACAGAAATAAGGCAACACGAGATGAACTTGTAAGGAGGATTTTGGCTGTGTTAAAGAGGATGGATACGTCACATTTGTCAAGGGGAAGGAAACTTTCTAACTGCAGGACATACTGAAGACCAGGCTGTACGCTTTCAGAAAGAAACAGTGAAAGTAGAAGTGGAGAAGATAAGGATATCAATAATTAAAGCTGAATTATTTCCAGAGACACAGTTTTGTAACACTTTAGCACTTACTCAAAAGCAAATTCAGAACCATGACTGATGCAACACACCTTGGGACCTACCAAAGCAGTCAGATGGTGCAAGAATGGTGCATAACCTTTGGTCAGCAAGGCCCTTCTTCCTTATCACCTTGGTCACCCAGGAAATAACCGTTTCCTTAAACTACGATTTCCTCAGGGGAGCCTGATGAATTTGAAGCCTCTAGGTGCTGGGACTCTTAAGGTGAGTTCCTTGCCTCCTGGTCCTCTGAGCCCCCATTAGTTCTCTTCTGTACAGCTCAGGCTCCAGCCAGGCTTTGTGACCTCACAGACAATATATCTGGAATGAAACCTAGGCTCACCATGAAATTAATAGAAAGCAGGTTGACTCACATTCTGAGATGTAGCCTGAGTGTGACTACATGACAGAAATACATAAGTTAGGGTTTAATAAATATTTGTTAAATGTATACATCTCTGTGTGTATATACATACATTATATATATATATATATATATATATATATATATATATATATATATATATACGGGGAGAGAGAGCATGCACGCAATATTTGAAAATAGTGGAATGAGGCTAAAGATGCTTAGAAAATGTTTTATTTTTCTTTCGCTGACAACTAATTGATCATCTGAACGGTTACTCTCACATTGTACCCTAAAATAAGAGATATTTTGCTGGCAGGGAGACTAATTTCATTGTTTTATCTGTTAAGCTCTTTTGCTAAAAAGAGTAAACTAGGCCAGCTTTAAATTTAAGAAACAGAAACATTACTGGTGCTTATCATGCCAGCACTTTTTCATATTCAGACTACCCCAGGAGGCATATATTACCTCCTTTCCAAGATGGGGAAATTGAGGCTCTGAGTTTATCTAAAATGATCAAACCACATATTTAGTAAGAGGCACAGCCAGCATTAGAATCCAGACCTTACTAGTACATGGTTTAAAAATTAAAAAATGTCTTCCATTATAAATGTAATACTTGCTTGTCAGAGAATATTTGGAAGAGTAGCAGGAAGGGGGAAAATGAGCTCATAATTCTGACTTCCAGTGGAAGCCACATCAACATTTTTATATACTCTTTCCAGTTCTTTTACTGTGTATGTATATATTTTTAACATCTTTATTGGAGTATGATTGCTTTACAATGGTGTGTTAGTTTCTGCTGTATAACAAAGTGAATCAGCTATACACATACATATATCCCCATAACTCCTCCCTCTTGCGTCTCCCTCCCACCCTCCCTACCCCCCTCCACCCCTCCAGGCGGTCACAAAGCACCGAGCTGATCTCCCTGTGCTATGTGGCTGCTTCCCACTAGCTATCTAGTTTACATTTGGTAGTGTATATATGTCCATGCCACTCTCTCACTTCGTCCCAGCTTACACTTCCCCCTCCCCATGTCCTCAAGTCCATTCTCTATGTCTGTACTGTGTATATTTTTTAATGTAAGTGTGAACACATGGCATATCAAAATGGATGTATCACCGTTTAAAAATTAGCATCTTCTGATTTTAAAAAGAAAGCACACACATTATAGAAAACTTGGAAAATACTGAAATGCATAAAGGGAATTAGTCACCTAGAATCCCATTAGCCAAAAATAACCACAGTTAATATTTTCATACATTCCTTTAGTCTTTTCCTATCAATTTTCTTTTTTACATAGTTAAGCTCATAATGTTCAAAATTTTTAAGTATAGTTAGCAAAGGTCTACATGGATGATGACACGGAACTTGATAACAGGCAGTATTTGCCACTCAAATTATTCAACCAGTTTCCATTTATACAGCCATCAAAATATCTTTAAGCCTTTAAGCTGTGTTAAGTTTCCACTCAGGAGATTCCTGACATATATTACCAGGTTTGTTTTTTGGTTGTTGTTTTTTTTGCATCCAAGGGGGTCTAAACCATTTACATGACGAGAATACTCCACACGTAAAGCTTTCAATACCACGGAAAAGCCCTTCTAAAAGAGGGACGACAACAGCTGTAGTCTGATGAAAAGGTTTTAGTAGCTTACAATGAAAAATACATAATGTGCCTTAAACAATTTGCACACTTAAATTTACATAAAAGAGGCTTAGCAAGAAAATAAGGCATGATTAACAATGGCTCAAGGAAGTTCTAAATGGTGTTTAACTGACCGGATCTGATATTAATAACATTCCAAAGAATATATTATCAAAACTAAAAACTTGAGTTGTACATAAAGTAATAAACCTTTACAACAGCTGTTAAGGAAAAGTGGCTGTGTAAGTTTGCACACAATTACTGAAGGCAAAGAGCAAAGAACTCCAGTTGGAATGAATGTGGATTATCTTCATAGGTCTTCCTCCTGACTTAAACACTCATGACGCACTGAATGAACTGAAAGAGAAAAATCAGTGTTACACTGCAGACCTCAGAACACAGAATACACCCTAGCTTATTTTTAGGCAGCTTACCTTTTGGTATTCTCATTTGAATTGTGGATTAAAAAAAATCCTTTTCAAAATAGGAGTAAATGATGAGTGGAAAGGTTCATTTTTGTTTGTTAGTTTTGTTTTTTTGTGGTACGTGGGCCTCTCACTGCCATGGCCCCTCCTGTTGCGGAGCACAGGCTCCGGACACGCAGGCCCAGTGGCCATGGCTCACGGGCCCAGCCGCTCTGCGACATGTGGGATCCTCCCAGACCGGGGCACGAACCCGCGTCCCCTGCATCAGCAGGCAGACTCTCAACCGCTGCGCCACCAGGGAAGCCCAAAGGTTCATTTTTTGAAGGAAGCAGTCTAATATAAAACCCAATGGGTTTCTCACATCAAAGCTTCTTACAAGAAGCTCATCTTACCCCATCTTACCCCAATGCACAAAGAATTATTTAAATTCCAAAAAATATCTTACTCTAGACATGGTCATGATCAAAGGCACCTACTTACAAATACAAGTAACAGTACAGTTTATACCATTCTATCCCATGGGGAACTTCAGAACTGCAGTTTTACCCCACTGTTCTACCAGACTGCCTTTAAAACGGTTTATTCCCTTAAAATCTGCTTTATAAATTCTAGTGTACCAGTATATGGATGCACAGAAACAATATCTGACCCTTCCCTTGCAGATCAGAAACCTCAGTGTAGAAGCATCAGTATTTGCTGTGAAATGTTTGCTTCACCACCAAACACACAGCAGCAGACTCTGCCTTTGCTCTCAGTTTTCTTTCGCATTCTTCCAACACCACTGAGGCCCTGGGCACTGCTAATTCCTGCAGCATTCCTG